CTCTGGACATCTTCTTCAGTCACTTCCGTAGCCTAGTAACTATACTGACCTATCCCGGCTCATAAAGACACACGCCACAACTGCCCATGCCTCACGTCTATCTTCAAGGAAATTAATACATAAAATCGAAATGTATGCTGGTTTCATCTTGAGTGTAGGAGTTTGCTCACCCCTGATTCTGTAAATGGTTTGTGACCAAATTTCACAGCGCAACCACAATTTTAAAGTCCGTAATTCATCGCAGCTCTTCGCACGAACAGTGCCTGTCCTTAATGCCTCAGTATCAGACTGAAAAGCATGGTTAACTTCAGTACCGTGAACCAGCGAAATCTGCCGCTCTGTGCCGCATTTGCCGGTGTGACCTCTGGGAGCACGCAACAGTTTCTGGTTCCCCGTCCTACAGCCAGAAAATAAACCGAAGGAGGGAAGATAAAATAATAAAGAAGGGTAAAAGGATGGAAGAAGAACAAGGGAAGGTGCATGAGGAAACACGCAAGGTAGTCCGAAACCCGGTGAAACGCTCCTCGGTCGATGCGTCGGTTCTGGCCGAGAAAACCTGAGCTCCAAATCCCGTGTAGGTCACTTACTCGCAAGTCTGGGCATCACTCTATTTGTATATTAATTTTCTAATGAAAAAAATCAGTAAAAATATAAATGATAACAGTACAGAGAAGAGTGCTATCTTTTGTGATGTGACGCCATGTAGTTTGGTACAAGTTCACTGATACTTAGGAGAAATGTGCTACCTCATCTTCAAGATTGAAAAGTAAGCGACAGACGTAAACAGCAACAAGATTAAGCAACAATGAAAACAGGTCGTTGTAACATAAGTGTCACACTGAATTGAGAGCTGAATTTTTTTTATCTGTCATTAAATAGAGGCTTAAATTCAGGATTAAAACTACAGAATGTGACACCACACACAGTATCTGCTTTTTACCTCCATGGCGTCGCATCTTGATAAGACTTGTAAATAAAAAGTTTAAAACAAAGCGATTCTTATTGGATATCAAGAGTTGTTTTGAAGTGAAGTCTGGCACACACACAGCTGGGGTACCGAACAATGCAGTTTTCAGACTACCCCAAAATAATCTCATTAGAACGATCAAGTCAGAGAAAATGGGGTGCGTGAAGCATGTAGCACACATGAGACACAAAAAGAACGCATACAAAGGCTTTATTGCAAAGCCAGAAATATGCAGCAATAGGAATATTTAAAAGTAGGTAGGAGGGTTATATTAAAACTAATCTTAGAGAAATATGTTGCAGTAATAAGGACTGAATTCATCTGGCTCAGGATTAGGACCAGTGAACACGGTGAAGAAACTTCGGGTTCCATAAAGTGTTGAGATAGTCTTGAGTAGCTGAGAGACTGGTAGCTTCTCACGAAGGATTCGACTCCATGGAGTTAGATAGATTGTGTTCATATCGAAGCGGTGGATTTACTCCGCAACGTAAACGGCTAGCTTCTGTAGAGGGAACAAAGAACTTGATACTGAAAGACATTCATCAGAACGTGATATTTTCTTCTGGAGCTCTAAGGACGCATGTAAAATGGAGGCTCAAAAGTGAGTTATTGAAAAAGCCATTCACGGAGAGAAATCGGATATTATTAATCATTCCTCAAGAGCAAAGCAACTCCCCGTCTCACCGGGCCAATGGAAATAATTCAAGCGTCACCAGGCGTCTCCGATAAGTGCATATCGCTCCTGCTTAGTATGCCGGGACTCCTGACTTCGATTCTCGGCCTGCAGCTCATGTCCTAATTATTCTAAACGATTCATCTGCAGAGAAAGAACGGAAAAATACTGCAGCGTGTACGCCCATTGCTGGGTAACGGCCTAGAAAAAACAACGAAACAACATCCGCTGTGAGGCAACAGATTCTTAATAAGCAAGTATACGCAGCCATTACTGAGTAACTCCTTCGCAAATAAACTTGTTGCCATGGAAACACTTTGAGTGCAACAATGTACGGTGTTTCTATGGGTTCCTACCAACAGGTTATACACGTAAATCGGGTAAGTTTGTAAGTTAGACATTTGTAAGGGAGTCTGTGAAGAGAGGACTTAGTCAGTGCAGTTGAGAGCCCGCAACAAACTGAGCGTGGAAGCTGGAGAATCTGCACTGTTAGGAACCGTTACCAGGAAACAACTGGTCAAGATACAGCAGACTGAAAAGACTTAGCGTGTGCTCTAGTGATTTGTAAAGCGTTGAAATTAGCGATGGCGCTATAATTAAATGAAGTCGCGAATCGTGTGTTAAAGTGGACAATAATTCCAGCCTCCAATCCAATCCCCATTGAGAGTCACGTGACAGTACTTTTAGAGTCTTCTTGGACACAGCCGGGATGGCGCAGTCGGTATAGCGACTGACTAAGTGTTGGAATACCGAGAGGCCGCAGTTCGAGTCCAGGTAGAGGCTAATTTTTCTAGTCTTCATGCTATTCAGACCGGTACTGGGACCCACACAGCCTCCTATCCAATGGGTACTAGGGGTAGCGCGGCCGGGTTGTGGAGCTGACCACTCATCTGCAACTAGTGCCGAGGTCAAGAAAATGTGGATCTATACATCAATTCCCCCATACGTGTTCATGGTGTAGTGCTTAATTAGTTAAGCACAGGAGAAACTTTACCTTACCCTTTTGACCCTACATACCACCCAGCACACCTCGGCCACATGTTACAGTGCACACCACCTCTTTCCCCATCATCATACCAACATTTCATTAACCCTTGTATATTTCGATTAATCTGAACATCGCGTTGCCTATATACAGATTGCGCTATCGGTGCTTCCTGTTATCATATGGTGGACATATGTCAAGGTCTTGAGGGTACTGAGTCTGTAATTCCGTTTGAAATGGGGGGGGGGTGACACTGACATCTGGCACCTTGGGATTAATGTTTGCGCAGTTCGGATGAGAAAATTTGGCTCGAGGGGGGGAGATGAAATTAATTTTGGTACACCCCTGTTCTAATATATCCACGAGTCTTAGGCAGAACATTTGCAAAGAAATGAGTCACATTACTAGCCTACTACTGAGTGTCACGCAGGCGCAATATGCATCTCCAAGGTCGTACAGGATCGTGCCGAGGTGACAATTCGTGACGCCTGGACCGCAGGCTACCACACATAGCACAACAGTGGCGAGGAGCGACACAGTTCAACATACATGCGCGTAGTTTCCATATGCGTTCTGCGCAACCTTCGGCTCCTAATTTGCCTTGATCTTCAATTATTTGAAATACCGTGGCACGTAAACCCGTTGGCAGGCGGCGGCTGTACAGCAACCGTTGCTAGGCAGCGGTTCGCAAACAGCAACATAGGAATGGTGTTTTATGTGCGGTCCGTGCCGAGATGTTATAAGCAGGAGAATTAGTGAGAGAGTGGAGTGCAGAGAGTGAGCTAGAGGACTGCTGCGGTTCAGTGCTTGTGAGCTGCTGCAGCTAGAAGATGGTAGCTGAGGCACGGGGACAGTTGGGGTACTCAGAGCAAGGGGAACATCCGCCGCTAGAAGAGATTAGCAGAAAACAGCTGAAGACACAGCAGACTGTACTCTAGTGAAACGTAAAGTGCGTGAGTTGGTGATCTGTTACAATTACTTGTAGTTACGAGTTGTAACAGTTAAATAAATCCTATTATCAATCCATGCCCGTATACAGTCAATCAATCACGTGGCAATAAGAATCAGTTCTATCGCTTTTATATGGACGTAAGTATCGGACAATGAAAACAGAAAACAAAACAAGAATTACAGAAACTTAAATGAAATCTATGAGCCGAAAGGCGAAATGCACTTGGATAGAATATGAAAGGAATGAAGAGACATTAAGAGAATTAGCAATAGGTTTTGGAAAGAATTAAACGCCTGATTTCCAGTGATACGACACAGAACGTAGAGAAAAAGAAAAAAATGGCGGAGACACACAGACAGCAAGGTGATCTCATACGCTTCCCTTCATTTTGCAAAATGAGGAAAGTAGTCAGAAAAAAAAGAGAAATGATATTGGGAAAATTTTCAAGATGCAAACCCAAGTGGGTTCAGCATGTCAGAATGTAAAGAAACAGAATTCTGAAAATATAACGAAAATACAAGATACACGGATCGAGGTACCGGGTAAAGATCACTGAAGATGCAACTGGACCACTGAGGCCGAACACAGATCAACACATGGCCAAAATATCTGACTTCTGGATGACAAAAGGGCTAAATACTGCGTGCAAACTTAAAATGCATAGAACAGAGAGGACACGTGTGTCTTCGTATTTCGTGAAATATAAACATACAGAAAACCATTTCACACAGAGCTATGTATTGGTATGTGTGGAGGCCGCTTCGAATACCTCCACCGTAGCCCTGCGAGTCGCAGAAGGCGACGAAAAGGGAATGCAGTGTCTGGAGGTATAACTGGGCCACCCTGTCCCTGGGGGACATAAATACAGGGACCTGGTTCTTCAGTTTGGGGGTTGGACACAGCGCTGAAAACCTCGCTCTGTAAAAAAATTGTTGTTGCGAAATCCAAAGAATTGAAAACCGGGTAAAATCTGGCAGAATTTTCTAAGGAAGGATACGGCTCAAAAATGGGCTGTTTTGATAGTGCTAATGATGATGATTTGTAACACCGCGTATTCCAGTGCAACTTCAACGTTTCGGAGGAATGCAATGCCTCCATTTCAATGTCAAAGATTAAGTTTTGCAAGGCAAGAGCAGAAGCAGAACTCAATCCTGAAAATGGAGGCGACATGTTCCTCTGAAACGTCGAGCTCACTCCAATCTACAAGCTGTTACAACTTGAGAGGCCGCACTTGATAATCGTCGGTGTGCCATAAAGTTTCTATTCCTGGCATGTTCAATAATGAATATTCCTTGAGTCACGTGACGGAAGCCTATGTAAGGGCAGTTACTTCTCTAACCTTCACAGTCCTTACAAGGCTTTCAGAATTACAAAGGGAAATTATCGTCCTTCATTTTACGGTCTTCCCATGGTACAGCAGAGATAGTGTAGCGGCGGTCGAAGGCACATTCATCCGTCCCATCTGCGAGCTCAGTTGCACGGAACGTTGCAAGTGGACATCAGAGCGCTTCTGAGAAGTCACGGGTACTAGGTAAGCTCTGAAAACAAATTCTCTTGGCTAAAGTTGCGGTAAAGGTTTTTTAATTTATATTCGTCAGGTGTTCTTTACAGATATCCAACAGCTCACCGGCAATCATAAGATTATGTTGCACCGTTCTGTTGAACCTTTCGCTTAGTATCAGTCAGTTCCACATCCTCGTGTCCGACACTAAGCATTTGGAAACAAGATACGCAACATAACACAAGAAGAACGCTACTCACCACCTCGCACACTCATGCGCCTTGAGGTGATTATATATTGTCACGCGTATTAGTGATTTGTAGACGAGGTTTGGATGGTGAATAGATTTATTGGATACTCACAAGGCGTAGCTACAAATAATTATAACAGTCTGAAGATTACTTCGCCAGAGCAGACGTTCTCGGGTGCGATTCCCGCGGACCGCATTTTACTGTCTCAGATCCATGTCAGTATAACTACAGCTATATGAAACCTGAGACCACGCTCTGTCTAAGGAAGATAACAAGAAAATATACAATAACAATTGTGAGAAAACATGCACAGACCTGAATCTAAGATAGAAAGGGAGGTTTAAATTTTGTGTAGCAAATCTAGCAAAGAAAACCGAGACCTTGAAAACCAATGCATAGGATTAAATGTAGAATTTTGTGCCTGCCGCTAGCGCTATCTATGAATACTCGTGACTAAAGCCTTATAGAAACCTGTCACATCATACCGATCTCCTTGAGTTGGTAATCTCATTACTGATAAGGGTGACCCAGATGGGAGAATTATCCAAATTGGATTGGCTGATTGTACGGTCTTCTGTTTATCACATCTCATCGAAATGGTAAGAGTTAGGGCTGGGGCACACCAAGGAAACTGGCAACCGCAACGCAACCGCAATTTTCGAGAACTGTTATCAGCTCGAGTTGAACACATGTTACTGAGATCTCAATTCAATTGTGTTCCACTCAGGCTGATAACAATTCTCGGAAATTGCAGTTTCCAGTTTCCTTGATGTGCCCTCGTCCTTACAGACGTCTTACAGAAATTCTCTGCCTCCTCGTTTGGACCTAAAAGTCCCTCATGTATATGTATATATTTGTCACCAGGTACAAGAACATGGACACACTTTCCAAGGACCTCCTCCAGGAACTAGAGTGTCCTGTCTGCATGGAGTACATGCTGTCACCCATAACCATGTGCGAGAAAGGCCACAACATCTGCAGCAACTGCAGAAGGGTTCTGACCAAGTGTCCGACCTGTAATCAACAATTCATCAACGCCAGGAACGTATCCCTCGAGAAGCTGGCCCGAGATATGCAGTATCCGTGTATCTACAGGAAATCCGGTTGTAAGAAAGTCATTTTCCAAGAAGAGATATCAGGACATCAAGCAGAATGTCCTTACGGTTCCCATATGTGTCCTTTCGCAAAACTATCAAATGATAACTGCAAGTGGGAAGGTGCGGTTGCTGATATCAAAGCCCACATCCGATCTGAACATCATGGGCGTCTCAGTGTCGTCAAGGGAAAGCAGTCAATCGTCTGCACAAATTACACTTACTGTAGGGCGCTGTTTGCCGTTGGCGAAGTTTTCCTGTATTTCTCCAAAGTTAAGGACGGTGTATTCTACATCTGCATCCTGTATGTTGGACCAAAGGAGAGGGCAACAGACTTCAGATACAAGATAACGATCACCACAACGGACAGAAGGGAAACAGCGTCAATGAGTTTGATGACCAGAAGCTTCATGGAAGATATTCAGGAAATATTTGGAAATGGGAATTGTGCTTTTTTCCATTATAATTTTGTTATGAATTGTACACGTGTGTTCAAGGGGCTACCAATTGAAATTGAAATTACGTCTGTTGACAGATAAGTGATATTTCTTGAGGGTATTAACTCGAAGTGTTTAGATGGGCACTAAAGAAAGCGAGACAAGTGTAACCGGACTTACTCAGTAGAGGTGACTGTCGTTGTACACTGTTTTGTTATCCGCGTGTTCCAATCTCTGTTGTCTTATTTCAGTGTCATGCGCAACATCAGCTTTCCACTAGCAGCTACTGCAGAGGCCGCTGCGCATGCCCAGTGAGTTGTGCGCGAAGCTCCCCTCACTCGACCGCCTCTTTGGTCCAGTGGTCAGAGTTCCTGGCTACAGATCCAGAGGTCTGGGTTCGATTCCCGGCGCTACTACATTTTCTGAGAAGTAGTGGGGTCTGGAACGGGATCCACTCAGCCTCGTGAGGATAATTGAGTAGCTATTTCAAGGAAATAGTGGCTCCGGTCTATAAAACCGAAATTAACGGTCGTGGGGATTCGTTGCGCTGACCACGCGACATCCTATATCCGTTAAATTTGGCACTAACTTCGCCGACAAATGGCAGGCGCTCGGTCGGTATAGTTCGCTTACTGACTCAAACCATGGAGTTTGTTTTTGTTTGTTGCTCCCCCGACTTCGTCTAGNGAGTTGGCCCCCCCCCCCCGCTCCTTCACTGTGCTCAGTTCAATGCGTCGCCAGTTTTACATATCCGCGTCGATTTTCAGGAAACCAAATTCCGCGTATAATGAGTCACTTGTAGTTAAGTAAGACCAAAACGCGTTAACCAAAACCTTTAACTCATGCAAGTGAAAATAAATATGAGTTACGTTAATGAATGAACATTTGACAGAAAACTTAGTAACTGAGAATATAAATGGTGGATTCATGGAGGGAAAGGAAGGAAAATAAAGGAAAATATAGTAAAATTCATAACGATGTACTTAACAGTGTCTGCTCGTCATCATATGAAACCTATAATTATGTACAAAATAGAGCAGGATGAGATTGGCAAAACATGTAGCATGCATATTGTGATAAAATGAGTATACAATTTTAGTCAGCACTCCTAAAAGAAAACAGTTTAGAGACCTGCAGGTAGATGTGAGAATACTATTATCATGTGACTGGAGTGACTATAGCCGTGGTCTGGTTTGTCAATTGGAATTATTGGTCACTTTATCACACATAACTCGTGATTATTCTTTACAGATCACTGTCACACACAGACTACTGTTCTCAATCTGTTACAGTCTCCACTAACCGTTGTTTGTTAGCGGCTTCCAACAGCGGACCTTTTCCTTCCTCTGGGTTTCCGAACTAACCAGACTCAGACGGTTACAGCTGTCCTCTAACTCACTCACGAACCAACTCTTTCCCCTCCACTGACCCCTCAGTTGTCCTGCTTACATCTGTGTGTTAAAGTGTCCAATAAACCCGATTAGCAATCCAAACCGCGTCTATAGTCACACTCAATCACGTGACGATATGAAGATTTTTAATATTGGAGAAGAACCCTGACTCGCGTTACTGCTTTTACAAGCTTGCGATTTCAGAACACAGGCGGCGTGGTGTGGCTAGCGCACACCTCAACTCGGTGTGTGCGGTGAATTTTAAACAAGGGCCTGTGTTGGAACGTAGGCTATGCGATAGGAAAACATTAGCGCTTACATATCGCGCATTCCGAAATCGCGTTGTGGAATATCATATGGAGCAGGTCGCATACTTGAAAACAGGGGTGTACACTGTTCGCAAACCGTGTTTGCTGAAACCACAGACATGTAACCAGATCATTATGTAAGTCTTCAAGATGGTCACTGCACACTGCTTTCCAACACTATGGCACTTTGTAGTCTTAAAAGCGACACAGATGTTTCGGAGAAACATTCTGCCTCCATCTTCAGTGTTCAGTTTTTAGGTGGGTACTTAATCTTCAGGGTCTAAACAAAAGGTAAAAGGCAAAAAAGGTAAAGCTATTTCTCTAACAGGCCGTGGAGGCCCATAGGGTCGTGAGACGCCGAGGCTCCCACATCTTCTAGACAATTGGCACACAGATGGCAGTGAGGTTGTCAGCTTTATGCACCGGCCGCCCTTTAACCCTCAGGAAGATTCTTGGTACTCATTTCTGTTAGAGGCTGAGTCAACCACAGGGCCATAGTTCGGTTGGAAGGATTAGGTCAACTGAGAAGTTCAATAACCTCAACGGGAATCGAACCTGCGACATTACGGCGTGCAGCATAGTGCCTCAGCCAACTACGCTATCACGTGCCCCGCGAAACAGAAGGTAAAAGTAAAAAAGTATCGTACTTAATTAAGCACTATGCCATGAAGGCATGGGGAGTGGCGGTATAGCTCCACTATTCTTAACTCGACACTAGATGGAGGTGAGCGGTCAGCTTCCCGTCCCGGCCGCTTTACCTCCGGAGAAAGAACCCGCGGTAACCACTGGATGGGAGGCTGGGTGGGTCCCAGAGCCAGTTTGGAAGCTATGGAAAAGAGAAGGATTTTGCCCTTGCCGGGAATCGAATCCGGGCCGTTCAGACTGTAGCCAGTCACTATAGCGACTGGGCTATCTCGATTTATGGTCGAAACAAAAGCAATAACTAACTGGGAATTTCCAGAACAAGAGCGAATACGTTTTATAGGGATGCAGTTCAATTTTACAGAAATCCTAAGTAATAGGCTGTAAATCTACGATACACCGAGCTGGCACTTCAGATAGCAAACGATGTCCGCTGCAGAGTAACGGCTCAACAAAGAGAACCGTAAGAAATCATTGAACTCGCCTTTCGCAAGCAGAAAACCCCAAATAAATTTCACCTCAAACCATTATGATACCTTCAGTGTTCTTGAATTTAGATTAACATCAACATGTTCCAGCACATCCGGGGCACGTGGCAGCGTCGTTGCTTGATTCACTATGCTACAAACCAGAACGTCGCAGGTTCGATTCCCGATGAAGTCACTGGACTTTTCTTTTCAATTTACCTAATCCTTCTAGACGCATTATGGCCCTGAGGTCGACTCAGCCTCTAACAGAAATGAGAACCAGGAATCGTCCTGGGGGATAAAGGGTGGCCGGCGCGTAAGGCTGACAACTTCACCGCCATCTGTGAGCCGACTGTCTAGAGAGAATGTGGAAGCCTCGACGTCTCACAAACCTATGGACCTCCACGGCCTGTGACAGGGATAGCCCTACCTATATTTATGTCCGAACACATCTGAGACTGATGCTTAATATTTTGGTCTGGGGCCATTTGATGTTCTCTAAAAGAACAAGAAGGGTCAACAGTAAAAGCGTTCGGGAAACTCTGGTTCAGAACAAGGTTACAGCCCTTGATAATATAGACGCTGCCATGTGAAGTTTAGCTCCGACGATAATGGCTGACAAACACCTATGTTCTGTTTCAAACCAAACGCCGTCATAATCAATATTGTGACGCTGCTAATACACGCCGTGAAACTTGTTCATGGATTACACAACGTACATCGTGAACTGTATACAACAAGCAAACAAACAAACTCCGTGATTTTAGTCCGCAAGCGAACTATACCGACCGAGCGACCGCCGCTTGTTGGCGAAGTTCAATGCCCACTTTTACGGATAGAGGGTGTCACGTGGTCAGCGCAACAACTCCCCACGGCCGTTAATTTCGGTTTTCTAGACCGGAGCGGCTATTTCCTTGAAATAACTCCTCAATTATCATCACAAGGCTGAGTGGACCCCGTTCCAGACCCACTACTTCTTAGAAAAAATCTTGTAGCGCCGGGAATCGAATCCCGACCTCTGGATCTGTAGCCAATAACGCTAACCACTAGACCACAGAGGCGGTCGTGAACTGTATACTGCCATACTAATTTATAGTGGACACTGGTCTGCGCAGAAGGGGAGAGAAGATGGGAGTAGTGGGGGTACGGACATTGATAGGGGAAGAAGCGCTAGTACAGAGTAGATGTAAATCTAATTAACTGTTAACTACAATGACATTTATTGATGTAAGATTTCTTAAGTTGGGACTACATACTTTTCACTGACCAATATATCCGTTGTTTGGCTGCTCACAGTTCAGTAAATCCTCGCTAATCCGGATCGAAATATGAAAAATGCTGTTCACAGTTGAGTACGTACTTTAAAAATATGTGGTGGTGTTTAGGTAGACAGATGTGTTGCTTGTCTGTTCAGAGTAAACTTGACGGTTTCATCAGACCTGCATCATTACGTTCAGAAACGAATACAACTTATGAGTCCTCTATCCATGAATAAATATACTGTTCTTTTACGGTTTTTAAATAAAGGCTCTACAGTGATATTTTATTTATTTTCATCAGCACTGCTTATATCATGAAGTTTCCATTTTTTAATGTTATAAGTTCTTTTTGCGTTTTAGGGCTCATTTTTGCTTCACTAATCCGGATTGTCGAGGGTTTACTGTATTTGTAGTATATTTAACAACTATCCCAGCAACAATATTTATATTATAATGTAGCATGTAAACCCGTTGCTAAGAAATTAATCTGTAAACAACGCCCGTTGCTAGGCAACAGATTCCTAACAAGTACCAAAGAACTAACTGGGAAGTGGTGTTCTCTAGGCGGTCCGTTCAACACCATCGTGACGGAAAAACAGAAGAACTGTTGGAATCGACGTTTTCTGTGCGCTCCGTGCCGAGATGTTATATATATAAGTTAGTGATGGTCACCGACCAGTAAAGACGTGAACACTGAAGATGAGGGATGTATGGGGTTGAAAGCCGTTACCAGACAACGACTGATGAAGACACAGCAGACTGAGAAGACTCAGTGCGTGCTGTAGTGAATTGTAGAGTGCGGGAATTAGCGATAGCGCTATAATTCTTTGTAGTTACAAGTTTTAAGAGTCCAATAAATCCAAGTACCAATCCAACCGCCGTCTATAATCACGCATACACGTGATAATATCTTACTTAGCACAGGCATATACTAAGAACCCACGGATTAATGTTAGTTAGTATCGAGACACGGAAGTGTTCACATCGACCTCTCGCACGCAGTTGTCATGCCAAACTACACGCCATCTAGGAAGTAGGTTTGTCGAAGTGGACTCGACACGACCATGTTTACTGCGCAGCCGCAAATCCAGCAGCCTCCGTAAATTGGCAGGACAACACTGTAAAATCCCGATGCACACGTACTCAAACAAAACGTATAGTTCAAACGGGCGGAAAAGTATAATTTGTTCATGGCCGAACATTCTCGCGAAAAGCATGTGGTTATTACATTAAATTAATTGTAACTTGCTATGCCAGACTGATCACTATTGACTCATGCTTCTGAACGCAGGAATTTAATCGTATGCTATCTAAAATGCTTCACAAGGGATGTC